AAAGATAATTGACATAACTCAAAAGCCAAGTGTGGCAATAATTAGGCACAATAATAGTTATTAATATTCCATCAGCAGCACAAATATAATGTAATACTGTAGAAACAGTAGTGTCCAGAGAGAATATGGTCACGGTAGTAATAAACAATTAACTGAAATTTTATAATCCTTTTTAACTTGGCAAAAATCAGTGAGCATAGAAACGTTGCTTTAAAGGATCAGTCCAAAAAAAAAAAAAAAAAAAAGACAATTAAAAAAAATGTTGATAGAAAGTTAGGCCCCATTAGCAATTACATAGGGATACCTAGATAGGTTTCCTAGCGATTAGCTGGGTCAGCAACCCCACTGAAAGCAATGGGAGGCTGACAGATCCCACAGCTACTCACAGCCGCTTGCATGTAATCACTAATGGAGCGAATCGCTAATGGCCCCATTTGCAAGAGTGAATGGGGTCTTTACCACATTCCAATTTCTTGCTGAATAGCACCATAACACCCAACATGATGAATGTTGATTTTTAAATAGAAGGAGAATGGTGGAAATTTGTTGTCTGAACAGCGAGTGCATCCAATCAGATGCAATCACTGTTCAGGTATTCAGGCAGCCGCGGGTGTTGATGGCTATCACAATACAATAGCAATGTAGAATCCTCTATCCACACTGCTTAGCATGGATGGGGGAATCAACTGATTGGGCTGGATGAGAGTAATCTAAATGTGTATGGCTGGCCCTAAATTCCTAGGTCTGTACACTTACTATGGACATTATGAGGGGCTCCCATTCTTCCTGTTACATCCTTTTTAACAATGCAATGGAGGCAGCTAGAGCACACAAAGTTGGACTGCTTTCACGCTAATGCATTTTCACCTTGCAAGAAAAACACAAGAAAAATGTTTCCCTCTTAATCCTATGGGTTTCTTCACACCACTAAGCTGGAGGTGTGGTGCATTTTAAAAAGTCCTGCATGGTGCATTTGTGGTATGGTTTTCAAAACCACCCCAAAAATGCAGCTCCCCAATTAAATGAATGGAAAATGTTGCAAAAACACATAATTAATGTACCGAATGTGTGTTTTTGGCGTTCTTGAGGCACATCTCAATTTTTGCAAAGGTGCAAGCAATCAGAAAACATATCTGAGCCTGGGTTCACATATGTGCGGTGTGGTATATCGCATGTGATTCCCACAGGAACCACACAGCATTCCTGTGCAAATCACATGCGATTTGTGTGCGGTGTGATTGGAGCCATACATTTTGTATGGCTGTATTCGCACCGCACCAAAAATGTGCAGGACCCCTTTTTGGGTCCACATAGGTATTCACACCTATCCAATCTGATTCTGTACATCGCACCACTTTCGGGGTGTTGTTAACTTAACCCCTTCCCGCCGATGCCTCCCGGCCCTTTAAGAGTTTCAGACGCCGGGAGGCGGGGCGGGTGGGGTTAAGGGATCATGTGATTGCCATGACTCACCGTCACATGATTAGGAAAGGTCCCGATCGAAAGCGCGGACCGGGACCTTTCCGTGAGTACCGCACATGCGTGCTGAGAGCACGCAGGGCGCGCGCTCTCAGCACATTTTTTGTTACATGAACGCAAATGTGCGGCCGCTCGGCGTCTAGGCCCAGACGCCGGGTGGCCGCACATTTGTGTGTGGCCAGCGTAAAGGGGTTAACATACACACCCACAGCGGTTCGCATGAACAGGGTGCGATTCTGATGCGGTGCGGTATTCGCACTGAAAACGCTGCGAATTCTGCATCAGTGTGAACCAGGGCTAAAACGCAGAAAAAAACGCATACGCCTTTTACCAAGTTTTTGATATGGAGCAGTGTGAAAGCAGTCTTGCCAAGCAGACAGAACTTACAGAGTCAGAAATTGTGACAGGGTGACCACACCATATAAGAAGCCAGGGACTAATTCAGCCCCTCAGACTACAGCTATAAATACAACTATCACTTTAGGGTGGACTGGTAGACTGACCCTTTCATTTTTATCTAGACCATGCTTCTATTCCAGAAAACAAGGACTGGCCAGGAGGGCCACAACAGTAAGGCAGAAGAGCTAGGTATCATCCATGAAACCGCCTATGCTTTGCTTCTTACGAAGTCCTCATGCACACAGTTTTTCAGCTTTTTTTTATCGTTTTTTTTGCATTAACGTTTAGCCACGATTAGTGACGTTTTCCAGCGTTTGCATTTTTTAGCGTTTTTTTACCCCCCAAAAAATATTTTTTTTGGTTAAACAAAATGTTGGTTTGCGCCGTTTTACTGCATTTTTCAGCATTGGAGCATTTGTACAGCTAAAAAACTCATCTAGAAACCCACTAGTCCTGTTTTTTTTTCCAGCCAAAAAACATTGATTACAGTCTATGTGTGTATGGACACGTAGGATAACATGCTGGGGGGTTTACTAGCTGTAGAAAAAAATGTCAAAATACATAAACAGCCGCTGTAAAAACGTCAAGTGTGCAGGAGGGCTAATGGCTACGTTTATGCAAAATCTTTCACAAGGTAGCCCTGGACATAAATCCTGACAATATATACTGAAGGTAACAATGTTCCCCCTCAATGCTCGTTTTAGCCATTCCAAGGACGACATCATAACACAGCACACCTGACCTCATACAAACTAGACCATAAACCGCTGCATCTGCTAGATGATTAATACAGTTAAGAAAGTAGGGACAGCATATGGGTCACTTGTAATATTACAAGCAGCAGAGACCTCAATCTTCGCTCGGATCGTATGGCAAGGGTTTCTATGCACACATCAATTATTTAAAGTTGTTGTTGCATAATTTAATCTTGCACAATTGTATCTTGGATGTATTTTATTGATAAACTGCTATACAAGCTAGATGCACAAAGAATACAACAAAATGAATTTTCTGTTTTTATTGCATGATTCTAAGTGTAGTAAGCAGTGTTTAATCATTTAGGTCTTAACTAACACAGATCATTTGCTAGCTGTACTTTGTTAGGGTCCATGTACGCTGCAGCTGCTAAACTTACGTTTAGGAGCTTTTCTGCATTTTTTTCAGCAGCCCCTGAACTCTCCCTAATGTTTCCCTATGTGTCCATGTACACATTGTCCTTTACAGTAGTTTACAGGCAGTTGAGTTTACAGTTGTTTTTTTGAATGCACAAAACTTGCGTTCAGGAGTAGATTTTAATACTTGTAAACGTGTGTAAACGCGGTTAGCCGCGTTTATAAGCGCTTTTTAACTGTTCCATATTCAGATGCTGTCCAGAGCCTTACTTCCTCATCAGAAATGCATGCAAAGTGTTTCCATGTATTCAAATAGTCCTAGTACACCAGCGCAGTCAGTTCCAGGTTTCACATGAAGGAAAAAATGGTAGAATGTGCTGCATTATGCTCATGATGGGATCCATAGTGAATACAACCAGAAAAGACAGGTAATCCCAACACATACTGCTCTCTGCTCTCTCTATGTCTCTCAAAATGTCTAAAATTGTTAATTGTTTACAATTTTTCAGTGCATTCTGGGCATTTGGGAAGGTCTCCTGAGGTTATCTTTAAAAAACGCTTCTAAACAGACTTTTTTTTAGCAGTCAGTTTCCATCGTTCAGAAGAGTTTTCCAAACGCCCCGTGTACGTGATCCCTAACTGTAATGACAACTGGCAGCTCTCAGGGTCATGCTGGATAAAGTGAAATATATTCATACGTATCAAACCTTACCCTTCACCACGTATCAGAACCTATACAGTATATGTGATCATGCACTGAATGATGAGAGCTTTTTTTTTACCAATTTACCACTAATTTCCCCTTTAAAATGAATACGCATTTATCCGGAAAATATTAGTGTATCTGTCAAGCTGTTTTCCTGTGTAATTATCATTAATAGCCACAAAGTATGAATCATCTGTGCTAGCCGACAAATATACAGAATTAAAAATGTCATCCATACATGAACAACAGGAAAAGACTGTGGTAGGGGTCAGATTGGTTCACTGCTGACTAGAAGCTTCTGGCATATTACATAGGAAAGGGTTCATGACTATCTTTGCTCAGAAAGAGACAGGTGTAATGGTGTACCTGTAGATTTATCTATTTCTATCTGTATTTGAAAACTGAATTCCAGGCAAACATCTAAATACACAGATGCAATACATACTGAATAAATAAGAGTACGGTTTCTACCAGGGGCGGACTGACCATTTGGAAACTCGAGCACTGCCCAAGGGCCCGGGGTCAGTAGGGGGTCCCATGAGATGCCCCTGGTACCTTTTTCATAGGCTTTTTTGAGATTGGGCAAGGACACAGGGGCCCCATGATCCCCCATTGCCCGGGGGCCCCATGAGTTGTCAGTCCGCCCCTGGTTTCTACTGTCAAAGGATACGTATTTCTATCCACCTGGTACTGAGATTTATACAACTCTGCCACATAACGCAGCTCTGTCTGGCAGGGTGGAAGACCTGTTTTTTCTTCACTGCAGATAAGTAACAATTGCAGGTCTTGTCCATCCCCCAGCCTATGACTTAACTTTAAAAGGAGAAGCAGCAGACCAATGAGCTCATCTGTCAATGTCTCCTCCAACCAGCATGTTTCTTGTTAGCAGATGAGCACTGCAGCACAGCTCATTGTGCTATTTTCCCATCTCTCACTCTGAGCACCCCTTCCTTTCCCTTCCGATCAACTGTGCTGTAAACATTCACAGACCAATCATTTCACTGACTAGATGTAACCCTTTTAGCTACATACAAGAATCTTGGGCATCGGCCAAAGGCACAGCATTTACCAGACCTAAGCAGGAATGACTACAAGGCAATAATGAAGAATACAAGTCCTCTAGTATGTAATTCATTATATGTCTTGGTTAACAACATGGTAGTCATGGACTTTTGTAATGGCTGGTAGAAACTTGGTATGTAATTGTTATTATTATTGTTGTAATTCTCCTTTAACCAGTTCTCATTGTTTCTTCCACACAGCTCAGCTGGTGACCAGCTAAGACGCCGCTGACTGGTATCACTATGTGGAGTTGCGAAGATTTTAATTACACTGACAACATTCAAGACCAGCGTCTCTGCCATGATTTCCACCTCGTCCTCTTTGTCCTGTCCATCCTCTACCTCATCATATGTTTCCCAACTGGTCTCTGCTACAATGTTCAGCTTGTGCTGGTTAATCTGTACAACAAGGCAACTATGACCATGCCGGATGTGTACTTTGTAAATATGGCAATTGCAGGACTCATCATCAATGCTGTGGCCCCTGTGTACCTTCTAGGACCAGAGTATACCAAATGGTCACTGTGGAGCTTCGGCAATGAGGTTTACATTACTCTGCTAATTCTCTTTAATGTGTCATCTTTGGTGATCATGTATTCCACAACATTGCTCAGTCTGGATTATTATATAGAATGTGCGCTACCAAGAACTTACATGTCAAGTGTCTACAACACAAAGCACGTTTGTGGGTTTATCTGGGGTGGAGCAGTTTTGACCAGCTTCTCGTCTCTCCTGTTCTACATCTGCAATCATGTATCTACTAAAATCATTGAATGTTCAAAGATGCAAAATCGAGAGGCAGCTGATGCGATCATGGTCCTTATTGGATATGTGGTGCCAGTTCTTGCTGTACTGTATGCTTTGGTCCTTATTTTACAAATTCGAAAAGAGGAAACTCCCCTTGATCAGGATTCTGGAAGACTGGATCCATCCGTGCATCGGCTTTTAATCGCCACCGTTTGCACACAGTTTATTTTATGGACGCCATATTATGCTACGCTTATGGTGAACACATTTACAGACATTCATGTGAAGTCCACTGACCACCGTTTCATGAGGACATTTCACTTCATCGAGGGTTTGTCAAGCTTCTTAGCCTTCTCAAGCAGCTTTGTCATGCCTCTACTACACAGACACATTAACAAAAACTTTCATAGCAAGCTCCAGAGACTGCTTAAAAAATTGCACTGTGGCAATGAAGGTTGCGCCCATGAGCGCACTGTGGTTCAGCAGGTGATGACTTAACTACAGATGGTGTTACAGTAACTTGGTTCTCCATTGATCTAACCTCATCCATAGTAGTGGATGAAAGGTGGCTGCTATAGATTAAGCTCTGAGCCTTAGCATGACCACGCTGCAAATATACTGCATGTCATGTGATTATCTATTCTTGTTTAGTCATGATTAGCTATGAAGACTAATTTATACTGACATGTTTGGAATTTGCGCTGAGCCTTTTTGGTGGAAAGGTGACCAAGACGCAGAGCTGGAGTCGAACTCTTAAATGGTGCTGATGATGGAAACAGTGGAGTTGCAATAGTACCATGAAATAGTGCCAGCAAGGTTTTGTTCAAGCCTATTAGGAATGACTTAAGCATGTATGTATGGTTTAACCACAACCTTCAAGATCTAACTATATTTCTGAAAACAGGTGACGCATCCTTGCGTTGGCTTATTTACGTATTCCACTGAGGCATTTCTTTGTAAAGTTTTATACGCAAAGACATGAAACCAAAATCGGGGGGGTTAAAATGTATATGCACCCAAAATAATTTCCCTATTCTGGAAAGGAAAGAGGCAGGTTTTTATCACCTGCTGGGTCTTCAGCTGTCTTTGAACTGTGAGCAGAGATTTCCACCAACCCTGACACGACTGTAAGAATTTGAGTTATTGTCACTAGCCTGAATTTTTTATGCAACCCTATGAGGAAGCCATTAGAAAGCAAGACATGCTGTATATACTACATTTCAGAGGATTACAAAAAATATATGAATAACTCAAAGGTTAGTGACAATACTAGTTTGTCTTTAATGGCGAGCCAAGCCTCTCAGGCTATGATGGGCAGACATGGACTGCCCATTGTACATACCAGATAATTCTCTGGTGGGTTGTCAGTATAAGCACGTGTAACACCTGTAAAATACAGAAAAACTATATTATAAGCCCAATGCATAATAACCATGAAATAAATTAATTCACAAATATAGGTTATCAAATATTTAGTTACATCTGGACCTCTAGTGAGTATGACGTCTTAATTTATAAGTTGATTTTGCATTCTCCAAGCTGACAATGATGTCAGGGTTGCTAAAGATCTTCCTCACTGAGCCTAAACAGCAGAAGAGACAGCAGGAACTACGCAGCAGGGGATAGACACCTACCACATTCCTTCCAAAGATAGAAATATGTTTCAGGTGGTAATGCTCTTTAATTATTCCACATAAATAACTGCAAAGCACTTTGATACTATAGAAAAGTATTATATTGTCAGTTTTCATTAACACAGAGTGAAGTGAATTTGTCTTTTTTTCCTAATGTATGTGATAAGCCTTCTTTTTATCTGACTACTAAGTGAAGAAAATCGGCAAACACCAAATTGGTGAATTAATGAAGTTATCTATCTAGCTGTACATGTCATATGGAATCTACCTTGCCAATATTATTCAGCAAGGAACCATAATAAATATTTTTGAGGAACAAGATTATGCATGATAATTTTTAATGTCATTAAAGAACATTTCCACTGTAATTAAAATGAGAAACTAGATTAATGCCTATTACATATATACATAATTTTTTTTACAGCATCAGAGATTGCTTGCACAATAGCAGGTTTCCAAGAACGAACAATTCACAAACCTGTTTCTAGCAACCCCCCACTAAGCCATGCTGTTTGACATTTCGCATCATGCAGGTATAGAGCTGGGAAAGCTCCAGTTGCATCAAGGCAGCTCATCAATTTGTCTGTGGATTAAGCTGGCCATAGATGGTTTGAATCTTGGCCGGTTCAGAAGGGACCAGCCGAGATTCGATCCATGTATGTGCAGACTGATTGTACCCACGTTGATCCATTAATCGACTTGGATGCAGCCAGCATGTTAGCTTTCCAGCAGCTATAGCTGCTAGCAATAATCACTGTGTTCTCCCGGCAGGGACGGCTCCCCATGTCCCCCCACCGGGAGAACACAATCACTCCACAGGAGGGATTCCCCCATCAACACTAACGATTTTCTTTCCTGCGACCCATAACTAAAGAAAAGAAAGTTGCATCATATATGGCCTGCCTTAGTTTTGTGCAGGAACAAAAGTGTATGTTTCTATACATGTTTTTGGCAGTCATAGGCCCAAAAGAGCAACAAACTTTTCTTTTTCCTCCAAGGAAAAGGGTTTTCTAAAACTACAATATTTTGCCACTTCAAAATATAGCATTTAATGGAGTGCTTTTGTGTTCCCCGGATTCTGAGGACATTTATCCAATAACTCATCACCGCCCATTATGTCTCTGTTTTACCTGTGTAAGTTGACAGACAAATTACATTGACTTTCTAAGCCACGTTACAGAATTATGGGCACACAAAACCTTCCTTATCTGTAACCTGCTACTGCCAAATAACATTCTAATGGTCCACACCCACACATTCGTTATACATTCCAATCACATTTCGTTTACCATGTTTCTGCAATGATTACAACATATGAAGACCATAAAAACTATTCAAATTGTTTTTATATGGAAAAAAACACAGTAAATATATTTATAAAAATGCACCTAGTCTGGAAACTTAGGAAATGTTTTTTTTTCTACATATGCACAAAATAGACCTCAATCAGACAAAGCACAACAAAATGAAGAGCATCAATTTGTACGCATGCAAAAAGCTAACAAGGAGTGAAATACAGTAACTCAGAGATTATGTAGAGTACTGCTAAATGTTTGTAAAATTCTAATAACTATATATAATCAAGCAACCAATCAGAACTCCACATTCAACAAAAATAAAAGGCAGATGCATTTTTAGCAGATTCTGATAAACTGCACATCACTGGACTTTGCATTGTTATTAAATAAGCTTAGCAACCTGTGCCCGCACTGCAAGGGTTAACTGCTCATTTTTTTTACTACAGGAGAGGAAAGCACAGCTATACTTACCTAATCCGCCGATCATTGCAGCACAAGACTGTTCTGGCACCCCTGCGCTCCAGCAGTCTTGAATAGTGGACTGTTCCTGACGTCAACACGCCCAGAGCAGACTCAGTAGACCAGGAACAGTTCATTGCTGGACCGTGGGGGAGCGCTGTTTTCTGGAGGATCAAAGGATTGGGTAAATATAAGCTTTCTGCTAACCACTAAAAAAACGAGCAGTTGACCCCTGCTGTGTGCGCATAGCCCCACTGTGTGGGAATTTTGTTTTTCCCCAGAGTTGGGCTTTAAAGTGACACTAAACTAAATTTTTTTTTTACATCATTCATTCTACAACATCAAGTATACCATGGTTCTGATTTTTTTTTCAACTCTCTTACCATAGCTTTACACCTTTTTTTGAAAATACAACAAGGGGGGCATGAAGAATGAATGTAGCCACCCTAAAATAGGCAGTCTGAGAACGGTAGAAAAAAGCTTGAATTTGGAAGATAAATCAAAAGAAGTGAGAGACAGAAGGTTTTTTCTAGTTATATTTAGACATATTGTATTTATAGTATTTTATAAAAACATGAGTTTATTGACACTTTACAACTTCTTTAAAAAATTATTTTTAACTTGAGTGTAGACTAAGGTCGTTTGAATCACGTTTGGCTTCTTATGTTTGGAGTTTCCAGCTTTGCCCTTGCTGCCACAGAGCTCTCTCTTGTAGTTTAGCATGAGAGCACAAGATATCTGCTGCATTCTTCATAACATACAATTTAGAGGCTATGAGAATGGGATTTTCTTCCCCTGGTCACAGCAGGTCGATGGCCCTGAGAATTCTTGGGCAGAGAAGGAACAACCAAAGCACACAGGAGGCAAGGGCAGGTGATGGTAGTGTGCACTCAAAATGGCAGCAGTTTAGAAGGACTGGAATTTTAATAAAGATCTAATAGAGGAAATATGGGTACTTCCATTGTCATTATTCATTGAGCCAAAGCTCAGAAAAATACAAATTGCTGAGAAAGTTATCCAGCTTGCACGCTTGTTTCGGGTCATTGACTCACAAGCAAAGGCAGAAGATTTGCATGACAAGCTAGCATTTTCATAAAGCAGGTCAGACTGTGTAGCTTATTTTTACCATGGTGGGTTCGGGTTAAGAAAATAATATTTGTGAAGAGTAATTATCTAACTTGCAGCAAACAAAGATTCAGGAAGTACTGTATGGAAAGTATATGACAACATTCGTGCAAGTGTCATGATATTTTAGCACATTTACATGTCCTGCTCAAAAGCAGAAGAAACATTTTCAAGTAATAACGATGTCTATAAAACTTGTACTACCTCCTAAGGAGAGGACAAAGCTATTCACTTTCATTATCTGTACCATCTTACAAGTATGTATAGCCTATACTTGTCAATAGTGTTTTGTTGTCTGTAAACATGTTAACAAGTTGGACACATAATCTTTGTCTGACATGTTTTGCATTTTTTTCACATTTGGATTTAACAAGCTGCTATTGAGGTGTTCCTCATCAAGATAAAAGCAAAATTAAAGTCCACAAATACTCAAATCCTATGCCCCATTCCACCCCGCAACATTTTCTAACTCGCCTTCTTCCGGGTGCTGGGTCTTTGACTGTTTTGACTGGCTGACGGGCAATGACGTACCTCCAGGACACGTGCAATGGGAGTTCATTCATTACAGCACCAGGGTGTGCCAAAAATTTACACCAAGCTGCTCATGTAGCAGATGATTGCGAACAGGCTGGTACTTTTTTTTATTTATTGCAGAACAGACATAGCCAGGGGCGGACTGACCATTTGGAAACCCAGGCACTGCCCAAGGGCCCGGGGTCAGTAGGGGGCCCCATGAGATGCCCCTGGTACCTTTTTCATCGGCTTTTTTGAGTTTGGGCAAGGACACAGGGGCCCCATGGTCCCCTATTGCCCGGGGGCCCCATGAGTTGTCAGTCCGCCCCTGGACATAGCATGTTTCTTCTACAACAAAAAGCCCGTCAGATCGCAATTTTATAATTTTTCACTGATGTTGAGCTTTAAAACGCCAGTTGATGGTATGACTAAAACTTGTGGACACCTGACCATCAAGCTACTATATGAC